CCCCCTAGCCTCATTTCATCGACTTATCGACAAAAATGACCCTAGGGTGCCCCCTAGCCTCATTTCATCGATGAATCGACAAAATGATCCTAGGGTGACCCCAAGCCTCATATCATCGACTTATCGAAAAAAGACCCTAGGGTGCCCCCTAGCCTCATATCATCGACTTATCGACAAAATGGCCCTAGGGTGACCCCAAGCCTCATATCATATAACAATTACTAGTTTAGCCTAAACTATTGAACATTGTAACAAGCCAACTTGACACAAATAGAGAGGCTTAAGTACAGTGCATCATATAGATTAATAGATTCATAGATTACAGTACCATCTAACATCATCGTGAAACATAGCAATTACTAGTTCAGCCAGATTATGGTACCATAAGTTGTTGCCAAAATAGATCTTAGCAATTACTAGTTTAGCTAGATCACATCATCATCAAGGTTGAACATCAGTTCCCAAAAGCATAGAAATAGTCTTTCAGCCTGCTGGGTTGCTTTCTCTGTCTTGGTGGGTTCCAAGAAGCTCTCCTGGCAGCAATTGAGCTGGCTGCCCTTGTTGCTGCACCTGTAGTTGAAGATGCTGCCCTTGGTGCTGGAGCAATTGAAGAAGCTGCCCTTGGTGCTGGAGCAGTTGAAGAAGTTGTCCTTGGTGCTCCACTTGTTGATCCCCTTGGTGCTGGAGTTGTTGAAGAAGCTGCCCTGCTTCCTTGTGTGCTACCCTCCTCTGTATTGCTAGACTGCATATAAGAATTGTAGCAAGTTAAAACATTCAAGTGTTAGAAAACAAAATGATGTGTATGTGTGATGCTTGTACAAACCTGATGCTTGTTCTTTCACATTGCTAAGCTTGGCTTTAGAGTCTGTTTGCATGATGTGTATCTATGACCTACAAGCTGGCAGTTGATGCATGTAATTGAAGCCATCCTAGATGTATCTTTGGGTGCTGGTGGCTCAAACTGGCTCCTTCTCCTCTTGGTTTGCTTCTTCCCTGGCTTATCCTTGAACACTGGAGGTTCTATGTCTCTGGTATTGGTCTTGGGCCACAGATCTTGTCCCGGTACAGGGTATATGATGGGGTTGTATGCTTCCAGATACATTGGCTTTTTGAAAAAGTCATGTACAAAGTCTTCAGGCCTCAGTTTGGCTTTGGTGATAGCTGATACTGCATGATTGCATGGGACTGCAGTCATATCCCATTTCCTGCACCCACATGTCCTATGTTGCAGGTTAACTGAATATGTTCTCTCATTGCTTGTCACTTGGTAGATATTTGGCCCAGCCATCAATGCTTGACAGTTCCTAGAATTTTTCTTTGCTTCCTCAAGAAACTCAACATATGTTGGGCATACATCCCACTTGGCTACCTCTGTCTTAGTCCTATTGCCATTGAACCTAACCATCAACTTTGTCCTGATTCCATCTATCATGCTCTTTATTGGTTTGCCCCTCACATCTAATATCATCTTGTTAAAGACCTCACTAATATTGTTGACAACTAGGTCAGTTTTGCAATTGAAGTCCATTGCAAATCTAGCCCAAGCAGCTCTAAGAACTTTGTTAAGCCAAGCCCAAGCAGCCTTGCACTCATTTTTAAGAGCATCCATTGCAGCAAGATGGTCATGTTCAGTATAAGAGTAACTAGCTTTATCCATGTAATTCTTTAATTCTGAACCCCTAAAACCAGCAGTCTGAAAGTTTTGATAGATGTGTCTAAGGCAGAATCTATGTGGGCACTTGGGGAATACATTGTTTGCAGCTTTAAGAAGGCCCTGTTTGGAGAAATCACCATAATCACAACTAAGCAATTATGTACTTAAGCAATGTATATGACCAACAACTACTTAAGCAACTAAGCAATGTATATGACCAACAACTACTTAAGCAATTATGTACTTAAACAACTACTTAATTATGTACCTTCTGTCTATCAGAGATTATGGTGTAATATCCAAGTCTCCCTGATTCTCCACCAATTGCTATCTTCAGTTCAGATAGAAACCAAGTCCAACTTTTTGTGTCTTCTTTGTCCACAACTCCAAAAGCAACGGGATATATGTTATTATTCCCATCCCTTCCTGTGGCAGCCAGGATTTGTTGGCCAGTAGACAGCTTGATGAAGCATCCATCCACACCTGCAATGGCACACAACACAAGTCAGAAACAAGGCATTGAAACAAGGCAAACTAAACATTCAGAAATCCTTCCTTGCAAAGTAAAATAATCACCTATGAATGGTCTACATCCATTCAGAAATCCTTCCTTGCAAGCATTCAAATAGATGAACAGGCCATAGAACCTTGGATTTTTGCTTGGATGCTCCTTCAAGAACTTAGTAATGACAATGCACCTACTACCTGGATTTGTGTCCAAGACAGCCTACAAATACCTTCAAGAACCTCTGATCTCTTTGCACCATCTCAACTGCTTTGTTCTTAGCCCTGTAGGCCATATGAGTGCTGATCTCAACTCCATACTTGCTCTTCAGATTTTGCATTATTGTAGTTATTGATGTGTTCAAGTCTGTTCTTATTGCTTCTAACACCTGATGTGTGACCCACTTGGTAGTCACCTTGGTGCTCTCTGCTACAGCTGGACATGTGTGCAAAAAATTTGCCTTTCTAATGCAAAATGTTCTCTCATTTGCCAACACAGAAGCTGCAATGAAAAAAGGGCAATCTTCATGTCTACAAATATCTATGATTTTGTCATTGCAGTTCCTATGAAACTGATAGTTTCTGTTTTGAGCTATGTGGAATGTGAGAAGTGCCCTTCTAAATTGGTAAACAATTTCAAAACAAAGCTTCTTCACAAACTGCATCTCTGGGCTCTCTCTATCCTCAGCATACCAGATTCTTGGTTTGGGTTTTTTGGCCCTACTCATATTGCCAAGCACAAAAGCTAGGGGTACTGCCCCATCATCATCCTCCTCATTCAAATCACCAGGATTTGGATCCTCATCAGATGATGGCACCCAAACATCCTCAAATTTTTGCTCCAAACATGCATGTGATCTAGTAGTTGGCCCCTTTCTTATTTTCAACTTCTTCCTCTTTTCCCCTTGTGGTACCACCTCCTCTTCAATTTCCTCATCCTCTCCATGCTCCTCATCCTCTCCATGTTCCTCATTCACTACCTCTTCTTCTAGCTCATAAGGTTCTTCAACATCAGTGTCACCTTCAAAGTGTAAAAATGGGTCCTATCTCTGCCTCCTCATCTCAGCCATCCTAGACATGAAATCCTCATCTTGCTCCAAGTCAGAGTCATCTTCAGTTAGTAAAACAGGAAGTTTTCTTTTAACTGCCTCCACCCTCTCAACACTCTTCTTATGCTTCTTATACCTCTGTATTTTATTCCTCCTCTTAAGCTCCATAGTTCTTTCCAACTCCTCTTGCTCCAAATCATCATCTCCTGCATTTCCTTGATCCATATCTTGTGCCTCGTGCTCATCAACTTGTGCAACTCTCCTTGTTTTTTTGGATGGTGACTTGTACACCACACCTTCCTCATTGACCTCATACACAATCCTCTCTCCAACACTGCCTATAGGGATCTGCTGCTCACAAACATGACCTATGTTTAAATCTCCAGGTCTGGGCTCACTACCCCTAACTACTGTCAGATTAACTATGGTCTGATCTCTGTTGGCAATGTGGTCTAGCATCTCATCAACCTTGTCATCATTACAAATCTCTTCCAAACCAGCTACTCCCAAGCCAGCATCCCTAACAAAGTACATGTAGTCATCCTCTCCATAGCATGCTGTCTCTATTAGTGATATTAGATTCAGAAATGTTATGTCTGAAACACACATGGTCCTCTCCAAATTGTCCCTGTCATGAAAGTGGAGCCTAACTTCCCACACATCATCACACAAACTACAAAGCAAAGAAGCTACACATTAATTTCTATGCATACATTTCTAATAATTAAAATCAATAACAAACTGAAGTATATACAGTGCACAAATAAATATTACAAATTACTAGGTGA